ACATTTAGTTTCAGTTACCATTTTTCTACCCACTCACCTAGTCCAAACAAGGTAGGCAAGTGAGGCATAAAATGTTGACTGACACTGACTGTTCAGAAATGTGAAGTAATACATTTTGGAGAGAAAATCTAACTCTGGATTTATTTCATACAGATTGTCCAGTGACATTGGCTCAGAAAAGGAATCTAAGCATCACTGTGGATGGCTCAGAGAAAACATCTTTCTGTAAAGCCAAAACCAGAAACTAAGAGGGAAACCAAATGAAAACAGTTAAGTAAAATAAAACTGAATTCTTACTACATACCAGTGGTTTGCTCTCATGTGAAATGCTAGGTGTGTTTTCTGGGGCAGCAGAATATGAGAATATGAGTAATTGTAATACTTCACGACAACCAAATTAGAACGGATGTCAAACACCATACTTTAGAACTAAGTCAACACGTATATCTTTGGAATTAGAGTAAGATCCACTATGAAAGCAGATGTGTGGAGCCTATACCATCTCCTAGAGTATCTGATACTATCCATGAACAGACAGGAGAGCAGATAATTTCTCAGTTTGGTCTAACAATTGTACTTCCTATGTCCTTCCACATTTTCACCTGGACTTTCAAATTTATGAGCTGTGCTTATAAAAACTGATCTGTTGTCTTGTATTTTGGAAAGGCATAAGGTATTAAGTAGAGGTACGAGTTGTTTTTATAGAAGAGCTATCACAGACACATTAAAAACAACAGATGTATAGAGCAAAAAATATGGTCAGAAATCAAAGAAATGTAGGAAGTAGACTTGTGCGTAGCAATTAAGCTCTTGCAGGTTATGGTGTCAGTTAGGACAAGTACTCCTATCCCCAGACAGTGGGGAAGTAAAGCTGAAATGGCACAGAAAGTCTTCAAGCTAATGCATTTAAGCCGATGTTCTGCTCATCCTAAGCTCTCTAAGCTTTTTTTTTAAATATACACCCCTTATCTTCTCCCCACATTGTTCCCAAATTCTACTTTCAGCTCAGAAGGACTGTCTTCCCACATCTTAAATTCCTGTAACATCCCAGTCATCTGAGGAGGTAGTTAAGAAAAGGGCAAGAACAAGAAGAGAAAACATGAGATACAAAGAAAAGGAAGTGTGTCCTCTCTCTCTGTTCTGGACATCAGAGCAAGTTTATGTCCATTTCAACTTCATCCTGTAGGCCTCAATCTTAAGATCAAATCTGTTATAATCAGCAGTATGTTTCTTGGACATGGAGGCTTGTGGGTTTTGAGTGGCTGATACCATATCCACACTACTTCACCCACACTGGAATTTCAAGTTGTACAAAGTGACTAAACATCTAGTGATTAGATTTCATTGATATTAGCTGTACTGATGAGGCTGACATTGGGAACAATCTGTATCATTATACATATACACACATGTACACATAAATGAACTGATACATAATTAAATGTAGCTCAACTTCAGATGCATAATTTCTTTCACTTAAAAATCAAGCAACAAACCAATACTCTGCTGTAGCACTTCAAGAGAATGACAAAACCTTATCACTTAACACTGATGACTGCATTAATAGAGCAGCTCATTCATTTCCCCACAACCCATGCCAAGTTCTACAACTAAGAGATATTCCTAAGAGATAACACAGATTTCACAAAAGAGACCACATCAATCCCTGGAAGAGTCCTTCTAGCTCCACTAGTTATTAAGCTTTCAACTATCATAGTACTTAACACTAAACAAGAGAACAATCTTGCTGAATTTATAAGGACTTAAAAATTAAGCAAGTGCAAGTCTACAGAATGGAGACCAGCACTATACAAATTACCTTAAAACTTAACTAGCATACATGGCACGGTTTGCATCTTACAGCTTACCTCAACTTACATAAATGAATCTCATTCTTCTGCTACCTTTCACAACATCTGTAAATTGCTCTCCAAGATATTAATATATGTTACATTGGACCTATATTTTTTCATTTAATTATTAGATATGTTATTCTCAGAACATAGCTGGGTGTTGTATGCCAAGTGCCAACAGCAAATAATACAGGTTCTTCCTGTTCTGAGAGAAACTAAATCAGAGCATCTTCTGATTTGTTAACCCAGACTCCATTAAAAAAATGTATTCCCATAACTATTTGTGGGACAAAATATTCACTCCATAAAAATTTATTGTATTCTTGACTTCTACTCCTTAAAACTCAACTGGCTAAAATCAAGGTTGACTGAGGACATGTTTAGGAATTTTATTACTGTTTAGCAATTTTATTACTGCTTTTTATTAAGCAGAGGTTTGGGTTGGTTTTTTTTTTTAATTGTGGAAACCGAAGAACCTCTTAGGCAGAAACTGCTGTTTAACACTTCAGATACAGCACCATAGCCTAATTCTTGTTGTTATGAGATCTCCTGATGCCCTTTATAGAGTTTTCAGGCTTCAATAGCAAATATGCATTTTAATTCCTACAGGCTTCTGTCTTCTGGAATGCACCTTCTAGTTTAAATAGCTTGCTTTCTATTGATGTTCTTGCATAGCCAGAAAGAAGTTTGAGCCACACCATAGACCATATTAAAAGCACAGTTGCCAGCTTCATCTTGTTTCTTCAGAGAAACTACGTACACTATTATTAATCCGGGTGACAGGCGTGGTACTCTTTGCCTTCTTCCAGGCTCCCTCTCCACCTCTACCTTTTACATTTGGAATGCATTTGCATTAATGCTGCTGTCATTTGCTACCTTGGAAAACTCTCACAGTTGACTTGTATCAAGAATACCAAGAAAACAAAAGGGCTGCAATGTACAAAGTATATGTAAGTGCAGAGGTCTCAAACTGCAGAACAAAAAAAAGAAGCTTTTGTCACAAAAGAATTTGATCAGTGTGGGTGACTTTATCAAGAATATGCTTAGCCGTGAGCGTTGGAAACTGATGAAATAATGGATCAATAAAAACCTCATGTTTTGCATTAAGTGCCACTTTATCAATCATGCTAACAAAGTTATTCTGAAAAAAAAAGGCAACATTCAGGAGTGGAAGCAGTAGAAGAAACAGTGGAGGACTGGATCCACAAGACAAGTTTTACAGATTGTAAGTGTATGTGAAATTAAGGAAAAGTTAGAAGATAAATAAATTATGTAATAGGACATGGTATTGGCTAGCCTCAAAAAGTGGGATAAGGACGTTACAGAAGACAAACACAGCAGAAGGCAAGTCTGCAAACAACCATGGTCAGCACGACCCAGAGCGATGGACATTTTATGTAAACAAGGTTAGGCTATATCAGGTAACTAGTTCTGGGGAAGGTTACAACCAACCTAAGCTTAAGGACAGAAAAGGACTTCGAGCGCTCTTCACCTCCGCACAGATATTGGGATTAAAATTAGCAGCAAAACTGTAAAGATTAGTAAGCCTGTAGTAAGACTTGTAGAAATTTCCATTTTTGTAATGATTTGAGTATAGGAAGCTTATTTTGATGAAGAAACTACCTCTTCTTGGGCTCTCACATTTACCTACTGCCAAAGTATCTAAGATTTTTAAAAAAAGGCATTTTTACAAACAACTATCATATAAACCAAGATGAATTTATTAATGCTGTGTGATTCTGCTCTCTATTTTCCCAAGGATCAGAAACACTTTAAATAGTTTTTGATTATTCCCCCCCCAAAACCCACCAATGTGCAGCAGGCATTTGAAAGTAGGGAGGTTACCAGTTTCTCCAAAGTCACAGAACAAGTGCCAAAGAAGTAGATTCAGCAGCATTGACTCTAGTGCTCTAGAAAATGTGAACACTTTGATGTTTTGAGACTCCATCCTTTATATCACAACATAAACTTCCCCCCAAATGTCTGATGATGCCAAGGATGGGGAGAGCGAGTAAGAAAGGAAAGTACATGTAGTGATTCACAATGAAGAGAGATTTCTTCTCATCAAACTATAGCGGCCTTGCTACTCCAGGAAGACATATTTCAAAGGAACAGGAATAGCTGATAAAACAGTGACCTATGCACACACTCCTGTATCACAGTAACAAAAGCACAACATTGGAAGGTAATCAAAAGATTGCATGAAAACCTTTTTTAGACTAAAAGAATACATTGATTCCAATTGCATTTTGATCTCCATTTCAGTTTGACCACAGGAATCATTCTGCCATTTCAGTGTTAACCACTGCACCAATACAGGCTTTATATATTTAACTGACCAGTTCCTATAGAAAGTACAGCCATTTATAGATTATCAGATGTCTGAGGAATATGACCGCAGGGGAAGAGCCAGTTAATGGTTATCCTGGCATGGGTGTTTTTGCTGGTATAGCTTGGGTGGGCAGGCTGTTATTAACTCTGCTGTGCGAGTGTAACTGGTTTTATAGGAGGCAGGCTGGTATCTCCTGCTGTACCTGGTGTGGATCTGCTCCTGATAGGAATTGTTTTCCTCGTTTTAGACAGCTGACAACTCATTCCACCCCCAGTCTGGAACTCAATCTCAGCAACTACTTTCATGGCCCTAAACAAATAAAAAAGAAAAAACACAACAAAACAAAACAAAAAGAACCCCCCCAAAACCAACTAACCAACCAAAAAAAAAAAAAAAACCCAAAAAACAACAACAAACCGCAAACAGCATGGCAAAACTTACATCAAAGTCTCTGTTAGCAGTTTATTTCGTGTTGTCTCCACTTTTATATGGCATTCAAAAGTCACACTCGGGAATCACACTGTACGCCCCGGGAAAGCGAGTGACCGGAGCAGGAGGCGCCAAACCGGGGGTGCCTGAGGTAATGGAGGCACAGACTGAGAGGCCCGGCCCCTTCCCTTTCACCCGCTCCCGGGCCATGAGACGCACCCGCTGGCATGGGACATAGGGAAAGGAGCATTGATTACCACTGCCCCCGCTGCATAACCCGCCTTCGCCATCGCTCCTCAGGCGACGCTCGCCTCGGTCCGTCCCGTCAGCGGGGGAGCGGCGGGGCAGCCCCGCCCAGCTCCCGGCATTCTCTGCACCCGCTCGGCTGGGCTCGGCTCCGCTCGGCTGCGCTCTGCGGCTGCACTCGCGCCATGGCCGCCTACAGCAAGTATCTCACCGCGCGCCACTCCGCCATCGCCGGGGCTGCCGCCGCTGCCTGTGCGCTCCTCGGGGTGCTCGGCAAGCGGCGGGCGGCAGCGCAGCACGGGTGAGGCCGCGGGGCGGGAGGAGAGCCGGGGACAGGCGCGGGGCTGGCGCTGCCGGGCTGAGGCCGGGGAGGGCTGTGGCCTGGCAGAGGGGGCACCACCGGGCGCGGCTGCTGCATACATCGTCCTCCCGGCACCGGCCTCCTGGAGAGGTGGCGTCTGTGGAGAGGGGCCAGGCGGCTGCATTCCCCCTCCCGCCTTCCCTGGGGTGCAGTCGTGGAACCGTAGAATCACCCAGGTTCGAAAAGACGTTTAAGATCATGGAGTTCGACCATTCCCAGCACTGCCAAGGCCACCACTAACCCATGGCACTGAGGGCCTCATCTCCACGGTGTGTGAACACTTGCAGGGACGGTGACTCCAGCCCTGCCCTGCGCAGCCTGTTCCAATGCCTGAGCATCCTCTGAGGAAGGAATTGTTCCTCAGCTCCATCTAAACCTGCCCTGGTGCAGCTTGAGGCCGTTTCCTCTTGTCCTGTCACTTTGTTCTTGGGAGCAGAGCCCAGCCCCTCCTGGCTCCATCCTCCTGTCAGGCAGTTGTAGGGAGCGATCAGGGCCCCCCTGAGCCTTCTCCAGACTAAACCCCCCCAGGTCCCTCAGCTGTTCCCCATCACACTTGTACTCTAGGCCCTGCACCAACTCCCTTTCCCTTCTTTGACCCTGCTCCAGCACCTCAATGTCTCTTGTCTGGAGACTGGAACAGGACACAGGATTTGAGTATTTTCAAGCTTCTGTAGCTTTTTCTGAAATCTTGGATCAAAAAGGAAGCATTAGATGCTTGACTAGTAGGGATGTCCTAGGATGCCTTATCTACACATGGGCTCCAGCTGTTGTGCTGCCATGTAAGGTGCACAGATAACAATTTCAAAGAGATAGTATATGGTTATTTATGAGGATTCCAGGTGTATGTGTGCTAGGTTGTCTATTTGTTAATCTCCTGTGAAACACTTGGGTACTGTAAGGTATGTAAGATGAAAAGTGTACCTGAGGTTCAATGCTTCTCTGATTTTAGTATATTTTAGGCTGTGGATTATTGACCATATATTAAAGACCTGCTGTGTTACAATAGCACAGTTATCATGTAGTTGCTACAAATCTGTGCTGGTGCTAGATCTTGACAGTGAAATGGACTTACTCAACAGAATTAAGTAATAATATACCTGCGATTAAGCAACAATCTAGTTTTATTTTAACTAATTCCTTTCGTACACATGATAGTCTTTAAGAGCTTTGTGGAGTTAGGTAACCTTGTCATATAACATGTTGGCAATTAATACGCTGCTGGCAATTTATGCATTTTCTGCCTTGCATTGTTTGTATGAAAGTTAAAACCACAAGATCCCAAACCATTGCCGAGATTTACTCTTCTATCAGACTTGTAGGGAGGGATCATATTTTTCAGGTATCCTAGCTTAATTTAGTAATGTAAAAAAAAAAAAGGAGAAAAGCTATATAGAAAGGGCATAAAATGGTGAGGTGGGGGAGTTACTGATGCTGTAGTGCAAGATTTTCGTGCTTAATGTGTTACAATGGTGTTTTTAAGAAAGACTAAACCATACAGATGTTCTGCATGGGAGCATCTACGTTTTAATTCAGATCAAGCGTATTCTTTTAAAGTGACTCTCACAATTGTCCACATTTACCTTGCTCTCCTTTATTGAGGAGTGATCGTGGAACTAGGTTAGCTTCAGATCAGAGCACATCTTCAAATGTAAATGCAGGCACAGTGCGCTTTATTCCCACTACCAGTAGCATTCAGTTGACAGCAGCAGGCTAGAACTTGTCCAGAGTAATCCGTCTATCTGTGAAATAAATATTATGTGGATCCTTGGTTGTCCCCATAAACTGTCTTGCTTGGAGATCTTTTGATGCTGATCTGCATGACTTGACAGTGGCAATGTATCTATTAGCCTGAGAGTCAATATACTGAAAGGGAGTGTTAGCCTTGGTACTGAAGACTGTGTTTGGAATGTGTGCTTCCCATATGAGTCTTTGATTCTACTAGGTACACTGCTAAAAACCTGAGACATTCATATGTATTAAGTAGACCAAATGTTATTACAAGATTAGTGAGACTTGGAAAGTAGAGATGATTTATAAATTATATTCTAGCTAGTTTAGCAGTTGGATGGAGTTGTGAGAGCCTGACATGATCTGTCCCCTTTTCCTTTATCTGTCCTGCAGTCTTTCTAATAGCTTGTCCTTTACTTCTGTAATCTTCCTCTCTAAAGCCATTTTGCATTCTCAAATCTATTAGAAATGCAGTTGCTAAAATAAGTGCCATGCTTGCAAACTTGTTCACTTGTGCTATGTGCTGCTTTTATGCTTTTAGTCCCTGTGCAGCTTAGCTCTTATTTACTACTGGTACTGTATTGTGGTCACGGATTCCAAAATCTAACATCCAGCATTCAGTTGTTTCAGTAATAGTTGTGCTGCTATTAGAATGCTATTTTTGAGGATGGTTTTTGCCCACTGGTGTTCATCCTTTTCTCCATGTTTCCTTCTGAGGCACACCTGGCCAAGAGCCTCGCAGAGCACTGTCAGGTTTGGGCAGTACGAAAGCTACATTGCCTACATCACCAGCCTTTACAAAAGCATCCAATTATTACCACTGCCTTGTCCTCCTTTAGTCTCATTAATTTGTGTATCATTCATTCATTTCTTAAGGGATTGTTGCTAATGTAAATTATAGCATACTTTCAGAGAGGATTCTGCATCCTTGTGGTGGTATATGATGCTGACATATAATAACAAGTGGTAAACCTTGGCGCAGCAGGGATAAAAATCTCCAGGGCTTAGTGTACCCTCTAATTTCTGTGTTGAATTTCTCCCTGTCTCTTTGGGAGGAGAGAGAAGTTAGGAGGGTACAACCGTCCTAAATTTATTTTCTTATTCCTATAGAGAAGAATTTGACTCTGCAATCTAGATAGTCTGTAGGAGGACTGGTAATGTATCCGTTGCTTGAGCTTGACTGAGTAAAGTTTGTGAGTAATAGTGATGGTTTATTTTTAAATATGTGAATTTCTTTGTTAAGCTTGGTATATAAAGCCTAAAAATGTTGTGTCATGTTAGTGGGAGATGAATTTCAGCTTCTTGAATTCTGGAAGGTGAAATTTTAGTTTTTAGCTTCTAAAGCCAAAGGTGAATGTTTTTAAAGTTTTGCTGGAATGGCAGCCATAGGTCAGTGTCACTGCTGGCCAAAGTTAACAAGGAAATAACATACAGATTAAGAGAACATAATCTTCTTTTAGCAAATCAAATGCATTTGAATATGTAACAAAAGTTATCTTACATAGGCGTCTCATGTTGTGTGTGTTTTCTTTTTATATAGAGTAATCAGTTCTAGAAATGACAGCAGGAAGGAAAGAAGAGGCAACTTTCACCTACTTTCCTGCTGTTAGACAATAGGGGCAAGGTCCAGTACAACTCCTATCAAGTAGTAATGTATGAATAATTAAGCTGTATATGTTATGCTAACCTGCCTTAGTAGGTCAAAGATCACTCAATTAGCGCTAGCTGTGTTAGTCACAGATGTTCTTCTGCAAGAGCTATTACACTGCTGCTCAGTTTTGAAGTACTGATAGGTGGTATCACTTGCAGTTTACAGTATATTTTAACCACAGTTTTCTACAATCCTCCAAAATGGAATGACATAGCATTGTTTGCTTATAGTAACATGATAGTGTTCCATGTTACTTCCTTGGAGTAAAACACAGAAAGAAAAAATAGTGTTTCTCTGTTTGAGTTGCTTCCGTTCGTAAGTCTTGTTTCCTTGGAAAAGCTTCCTTTCTTCTTGGGAGGGGAAAAGTTGTTATATGAAAATGCAATTACAACTTCAGTTGTAGTATTTGGGTTTTTTAGAATTGTAAGAAGTTGTCTTGTTTGAGAAACTCCATTATCCTGGGTATGTGGTACAGGAGAAAAAAAATCACTCCATTCTGTTTATTTCTTTTCCCTAATCCTGCCTCAAACAAGAAGCAGCAGAATATTTGCTGAAGATTTGGTTGCTTTGGAAATAAAACCTTAAGGGGTGCTCCATAAAGGAGCTGGATATTTTCTGTTACCCCTCTAATGAGAATTGTTCATGAATATCTACGTAGTTTAAAATAAAGTACTTACACAAGTGGAGAAAGAACTTGCGTTGCTCTCAGAAAGAAGGTATTTAACTTGTACAGCTTTATACTGGAAAGAGTAATAGGAAGTAATTTGGCTAGAGAGTTTGGAACTGCAAGATTAGGGAAAAGAAATAAACAGAATGGAGTTAACAGGAAGGAATTTGTAACAGATTAGAAGTAAAAGATTTTAGAAGCTGCTCCAGGACAGTTGGCCTTTCCTATCACCTGGTTGTGTCTGTTAGCATCTAAAAGTATACTAGGGTATGGACATTTAATTTTTTATAGATTCAGCTTCTGAACCCCAAGCATTTGGCATCTATCCTGTGGAGAAGAATAATGCATAGGGGAAGAACAAAGCATGCTTGGGGCTTTAGAGGTTAGACACACCTGAAGCAAGGAGAAAGGCTCATTTGTGTTGATGTACAGAGAGTTGTTGACACAGTGTACATCAAATAGGGTTTTGCACAGTTAAGATGAACTGTGACACATGAGGTATGCACTTGTCTGTCATGGGGCTTCTCATCCTCTTTCTTCTGACAGGGTGGAAGTAGATGGTCTGCTTATGTCATCAGCTGGCCTGCCCATGAACCTAGTTTGACAGTGATTGATGCACAGACAATCAGCAGTGATGGACACGTGTTCAGACATTGGGAGAAGCTTTCAAATGTAACACAAGTTTATATATAGCAAGTGGCTGTTGTAACTTGAAGCAAGTCATGCATTTTTATTCTGGTTTTGTACATTTGTGATGTTATCTTTTCTTTGCCTCATTTCTGTAGGTTCTGAAGATGTTTGGGTGAGCCTTACTAGTGTACTTTGCATAAAGGGACATAATTGAGATGAGTCTCCTGTGACAAGAAGGGTGAAATGATACTGCTCTAGATTAAT